GGGGCTTCTTGGGGGTCTCTGGGGCTTTTTGGGGATCCCCCGGGGCTTTTTGGGGACCCTCTGGGGCTTCTTGGGGGTCTCTGGGGCTTTTTGGGGATCCCCCGGGGCTTTTTGGGGACCCTCTGGGGCTTCTTGGGGTCCCCCTGGGGCTTCTTGGGGTCCCCCTGGGGCTTTTTGGGGAGTACTCGGGGCTTTTTGGGGTCCCCCGGGGGCTTCTTGGGCGTCTCTGGGGCTTTTTGGGGATCCCCTGGGGCTTCTTGGGGCCCCCCTGGGGCTTTTTGGGGATCCCCCGGGGCTTTTTGGGGTCCCCCTGGGGCTTTTGGGGGTCCTTGGGGTCCCCCTGGGGCTTCTTGGGGTCCCCCTGGGGCTTTTTGGGGGTCCTTGGGGTCCCCCTGGGGCTTCTTGGGGACCCTCCGGGGCTTTTGGGGATCCCCCGGGGCTTTTTGGGGATCCCCTGGGGCTTTTTGGAGATCCTTGGGGCTTTTTGGGGACCCTCCAGGGCTTTTTGGGGTCTCTGGGGCTTTTTGGGGACCCTCTGGGGCTTTTTGGGGACCCTCCGGGGCTTTTTGGGGTCTCTGGGGCTTTTTGGGGATCCTCTGGGGCTTTTTGGGGATCCCCCGGGGCTTTTTGGGGTCTCTGGGGTTTTTTGGGGACCCTCTGGGGCTTTTTGGGGTCCCTCTGGGGCTTTTTGGGGACCCCCCGGGGCTTTTTGGGGTCCCCCTGGGGCTTTTTGGGGACCCTCCGGGGCTTTTTGGGGAACCCCCTGGGTTTGAGGACCCCCTGGACTTCTTTGGGGGACCCCCGGGGCTTTTTGGGGATCCTTGGGGCTTTTTGGGGAGCACTCGGGGCTTTTTTGGGGGACCCCCGGGGCTTTTTGGGACCCCTCGAGGCTTTTTGGGGATCCCCCTGTGTTTGGGGAGCCCCCTGGGTTTGGGGACTCCCCCGGGGCTTTTTGGGGACCCCTCGGGGCTTTTTTGGGGAACCCCCTGGGTTTGGGGGACCCCCCCGGGTTTGGGGGACCCCCGGGGCTTTTTGGGGACCCCCGGGGCTTTTTGGGGGCCCCCCCTGTGTTTGGGGGACCCCCTGGGTTTTGGGGACCCCCTGGGTTTGGGGACCCCCTCTGGGTTTGGGGGACCCCCCTGGGTTTGGGGACCCCCCCTGGGTTTGGGGGACCCCCTGGGTTTGGGGGACCCCCCTGGGTTTGGGGACCCCCCCTGGGTTTGGGGGACCCCCTGGGTTTGGGGGACCCCCCTGGGTTTGGGGACCCCCCCTGGGTTTGGAGGACCCCCTGGGTTTGGGGGACCCCC